TTACAATAACTTAATTTACATTACCGACATTTTCGAGGAGCGTGCCATTTTGAAAGTGGACCCTATCACATAGTATACTGTTAAAAGATTCAGGTTGAAATTTCAGTTTTTGGTACTGTAATTCCTATTACTTTTTGGTTTTGAAATTTCATTACATAAAATGGTTTTGAAATTTAAGTTTTGCGTAATGAAAAATCAAAAACTAGTAATGAAATATAAGTACGATAATGTTTGCATAATTCAGGACCTGCACTGAAATTTCATGATCTGTGGGTGGATGTGCTTGCGTTATGAGTGCTCGGCGAGAGTCAATTAAAAACTCATGCAAAATATTAAATATTGACAAAAAATTAAAAACAAATGTGCAGGTACATCGGGGGGACGCTGCTCTATCAGACTATCAATAGTTCGGATAGGAAATTTAAGAAAATTAATAGATATTTGACACGTAAAAGAAAATTACCAGTTACCTGAACGATGCGCTATCTAGTGGCAAATAGTGGAAGTGCGCTCGACCGCGACAGTATCGGTGCAGGGCAATCGCTGTTGCGAAAATAACTACGCTTTTCCGCTTGCGATAATATTAATCTTCTTGATTTTCTATGCCACCAGAGACCACAAAGATGTACATTACTTAATTAATGCAATTCGAATTTTATCATCCTGTTCTGAATCTTCAGTACCAAACTGAAGTTTCATTACGCATCTCGGAATTTTCAGAAGCATACTGACATTTCATTACGCTGCTCTGAGTCTTCAGAACCATACTGACATTTCATTACCTACTTCTGAATCTTCAGACCAAGTACTGACATTTCAGTATCCAGTTCTAAATTTTCACAACATTGTCTTGAAATATCAAAACAATTCTGAATTTTCAGTTCAAACATGAAATTTCATTACAATTCTGAAAATTCAGTTAATTTTGGTTTTGAAATTTCAAAACATTTTTAACATGAGCTATAGCTCGTTTGAAAGCTATTTTTACGAGGAATCTGGAATTGCTATCCACTTTCTAATGTTATCCACCCGAAGGAAAAGTTTTGGCAAAAACATAAACATGATCATTGATGATTGCTGATACATCATCAGTCGAAATATCGTGGAAAAAAGACTCAAATCCCGTGAATGTCACGTGGATATCTAACGTTGAGTAATCCACGTCACAAATCTACGTGGAATCCACGCTACTCCTTCCAAAATTCCTCTTCTGGAAACCCATTGTTTGCCTTCATTTGTTCCATCACTATATATGTGTTCAATGATGAGATGCTGTCTGTTCGCCCTTAGGCCCCGCCATGGTGCCGCTGCTGGTCGCTGTGCTGGCGTGCCTCGTTTCCGGTAAGTCTCACTGAGTCTCCTATTGTCTGCGGCAACGCATAGCTGGGGGCCCCGGTGTCTGCAGCCGCGAGGGTTGGTCCCCGCACACATATGGTGGGGTACCATGGTGAGGGGAGAGGGATGTTTCGTTGCAGCAACATTTTGATACACTCGCAATCAAATTTCGTCCCGATATCCGTCCGATTTAGTCACAGGCATCCAAAATTTAGTTGCTGTAACCGAAATTTTGGTTGCTGTACCGTACCCAAACGTTTGGATGCTGTGACTAAAACTTTGATGCCAATGAGCCCGACTCACCGAACAATTTCCGCTCCGAAACATTCCTGTCATAGTGGGTTTTACAAATATTTGGAGGGAGCGGAGCCCGACACGGGTGTCATGGGATTCCATTTTCCGTCCAGTTGCGATGTGATATGCAACACCGTCGATACATACGCAGCGCTGTTGGTGTTTAGCATTCATTCTCTCCTGTCCTTTCTGCTGGAGCGGCCGGTCCGATCCCGGTCCTGTCGGTAGTTTCCAGGAATTAAAGATAACCCTTTCCATCGCCTGCCTGATACCCGACCTGATGCGCTCGACGTGCTAGCTTTCAGGACGCGTTCCGCGAACTTCGCACGGATATCTGCACATATCAATGATTCTCTTGGAACAATGCACAGCACCTGTCCAATCGAGAACGCTATTGTTGACCCCCGGTGAGTGTGCGCACTGCAAAATGCTTGCAAAGAATAGGTTCGTATTGCAAACTATTTTCTTTGCAGCTTGCAAAGAATTTTCAAGCATCGTAATACGAACTAGTTCTTCGCAAGCTTGCAAACTATTTCTTTGCAATGCTAACACATTGTTTGCAAGGATTCTGCCAGGTTGCAAAGAACTTCTTTGCAATACGAACTGATTCTTTGCAATACAAAGCTCTCAAATTCTTTGCAACGTTGCAAAGAAAATGGTTTGCAAGCATTTTACAGTGCGTGCACTCTCTCTTTGTCACGCGGGTCGCGCCGCAAACCGACTGCCCTTAGGCCAGCGTGGTCGGTAAACGGACTCGAAACCGGACGAAATTGCCTCTTTTACAATGTGAGTGTGGCCATCAGAATTTGGAGCTGTATTGCATACAGACTCTCTAAAATATCGCTTGTCCCAACGGAAAGCCGAGGGTTGGCCGGCTCGTGTAATACTGGGTACACGGACCTTATAGTAGCGAATAATACTCGTAATATTCTGTGATGCATATAATATCCTCGCACAATACCCTACATAATATCCTATAATATTTGCTTTCCAAATCAATAATTCAGTAGGAAACAGTAGATTGAATTGGCCCAGTGCTGCTTGGGCGTGGAATATTACGCGCACGCATTGCCAAGTGGCTACACAGGGGCAGCGGGTGCAGCCCGACGCGAAAAGATTTGTTCGCTTTTTGCATGGTTTCGGATTGCTTCCGTTTCGCTTTGGGTCGCGTCCGGTCCGCTGAGGGCAGGGGTCCGTAACTTATCATATAAGCACCTTATAACGTTTTGATAATCGTTAATGTTATACCCGACAACTGATAACGCATAGCATGACACTTAACAGTTACAAAAATAACTTTTAACTTTTTAAAATAAAATAACCGTTATGGATTCAACAAATATTAGTTTAATAAATGTTAAAATGTTATGTATTCTTTCGTGCTTTTGCGATATCAGTTTTAAAATAAACGAAAGTTGCTTTTAACGTTAAGGGAATTGGTTCTGTCTATAACGTTAAGGGTATAACAATTTACTAATCGGTTAAGTTACCAACTTAACTTAAAATTTTATTTGTGGTTTTGTTAAATTATTTAACAAACCAATCATGTTTGTTATGTTAAGTTACGGACCCCTG